ACTTAATGATTTAGACGGGAAGCCTGCCAGGAATATGGCGACAATCCCGCTACAGTCTTTGACTGTATGAACAGTGAATTCAAGAGTTCTTGGACGAATCTTGTTTGTTCAGGTTATTGAAGAATAAAGATAGCTAACAAGCGAGTTTATTTATTGCTTTTTAAAAGTGTAGCCTTGCTGATCTTTATTTTGGTATTATTTTTTAATATTAAAAACTACAAAAAAAATGAAGAGAAAGTCTGGACTGCCAGAAATTAGTAATTCAATTGATCATCACTTCAAAAAGCTTAAATCTGAAACAATATGTGAAATTCCACAAAAAGAAGAACATCAAGTAGATCATGAACAAGAATTAGTAAAACTAATTCTATCCGATAATTTATTAAAAATTCCTCAAGGCTTGAAAGATCAACTCGGAGGAAACAAAGTTAAAGTACTCCATATTAATTTCCATAAAATAGATTATACACTCCCAAAACTTGATGATACCATTTCATATATTACTACTGTTACAACTAATCAATTAAATAATTTAATAATTGCCATAACTACCAAGAATCAATGTTATGTGTTTGATTCAGAATGTAAATCATGGAAACTTAAATTTAAATTACCATTATATAGTTCATATCTGATTGACAGTCAATTTGAGAATGTTTATATTGGAGCAAGAGGTGGTATTATTAAGAAATTTAAAATATTAGATCATGTGACGGATTATTCAACAGAATCTCCTATTTGGGAAAGTAAGATTAGTTCACACTATGAAATGTGTTGTGCTAAATCAAAGAATGAACTATATATCAGACATAATATTAATACAATCTATGTAATGGATTTATTGAATGGATCAAAAATAAGAGAAATTAAACTAAATCAACCAAATTATACTATTGTTGATGTATTACATGTGGATGAAAAGGAGGGACAGTTATATCTTTTATTTAAAGATATACTTAATGGTTACGAACAATTACATTATTTAATCTTGAAGGATGAAAAATCTGGAATTGAAATTAAAATTGACACATTTGATGAAGCAATTGTGTCAATAATTCCATATTATGAACATTATTTCATTAGCTTGACAAGGAATGGAGAAGCTTATTTATATGAAAAGAAAACAAATAATTTGTTACATACTTTTACTGTTTCTAAATATTTAAATGTTGCTCATTTTGATAATAATTTCAAAAGGTTGTACTTTTCTCCTACCCATAGTGCTGATAGTTGCAATGTTGCTCAATTTATTATTGAAACCAGTGTTGAAAATGTGCCACTCACAAGAGAATCATGTCTTTCTCTTGCAAAATTGAGTGTTAAATTTCCCTCATTAATAATAAGAGAATATGGTGAGAGTGTGATGCCAGAATGTTTGCAATTTTTAAAAGATATTGATTTTGGAAATAAGAAATTGTGGTTTTTTGATAAGGAAATTACTAAATGCTTTCAATTGGACTTTGAAAATGAGTATTTTGAAATTCCAGATGAACATGATGATGTTATTGTAATCGGAGAAAGTAATGAAGAAATGGAGGATGAAAAATATCAAGTTTGCATCTATGTAAGAAAATCAGAAGTTTCGAATAATTATGATTTTCCAGTTTATTTACATTACAAAGAATCACTCAAAGATGGTTTTTTGAAAACAAAGAGTTTAAAATTTTCAGAATTCATTTCAAAATTGACACTATCTGAATCCATTATCATTCAGCATAACCGTTCAACATATCTTATTAACTTTGAAATGATTTATGAAGAATTGATTCAAAAATCAATCATTCATCCTCAAACTAAACTTATTGATAATATCCTTGTTGAGAAGTATAGGAAAATGATGTGTGGAGTTGACAAAGAGGATTACTTTGAATTAGCACGAAAATTTAACAGTTCAACAATCAAATTTGATAATACTCTATTTCTACAGATGGATTTGATTGCCTTGGCTATAGATTGTTGTTCTGAAATTTCGTTCTTTAAAATCAAATAGCAAAACCGTACTATTCACTCTTTGAAATTTTATCTGCAGATGAGTGACAGCTATTATTGTATTAATTTCTTTTAAGCTAAGATTGGATGAAAGAATCTTAGCACAATATGCATTTTTCCTTTTTGTTTGGAGCTTTGATAAGTTTCGAATAGATAAACGTCTTGACAATTAAATCTTCCAATTCTTCCAGTCCAACAAACTCTCTCGAAGATGTTGTAACATAACTCACAGCACCCATCCACTGAGACAGTTTCTTTCCATACGAATCATACTTTTTACACAAATAACTATTCCAATATTTTCCCAAACGAAAATCTCCTGTTTTTGAATAATCACAAATATCAGATTTTGTTCCAACTACCAACACTGACCTGTTGTAATCCAAAAATGATTGAATTTCTGGAAGAAATCTATCAGAAAAATCCTCCAAACACTTAATCATCATTACTGGACTCGATATTGCATAGCACATTATAAAAATGTGACATTTGGATGGTTTATCATAAGATAAAGGTCTTAATCTGTCATAACTGAGTAATAATAATAATTCAATGATTAAAGGGTTGAGAATGAATCATTAAACTTACTCTTCCTGACCTGGTGTGTCTACTAATTGTAAACAATAACCTTCACTTCTATCAATATCACA